ATAAAATAAAGTATATATATACACATAGCGAGAAGTATGTTGAAGATAATTAGAAATAAAATACATTTCACTGAAATACATTCCATGAATAACAAATTAGAACTTAAGGAAACAAATTTTATCTACTCACAATGCTTAGTGAGTGGTGATGAAAATTCACGTTCAACACAGAATAAAACAATAAAAAATAAGAGAAAAAAATAATGTCTAAAGAAAATTAAATCCTTATAACATAGTATGTATTTAACCAGAGTCTGATTGGATTGTGAAGAGGAATTGGAATAAGAGGGTTTTAAAGGTGGATAAGGATGATGCATGGCGGATTTTTAGTGGGATGGAATTCCAGAATGCGGTGGAACGGACAACGAAGGAATGTTTAAATGATGCAGATCTGTGGAAAGGAGTGTAAAGGTCAGAAGGACGAGATCTTGTGGAGAGGGTGTGGATAGATGATTTGAATTGTAGGAGATTGTATGCGTAGGACGGACGATGACTATTGATTATTTGGTAAAGGAATGTGCCTAGGAAATATTGTCTTCGGAAGGAAGGGAAGAGCCATCCTAATTCAGCATAGTGGTGCGAAACACGGGAATACCTCAGGGCCCCTGTGACAAATCTAACGAAGGCATTCATAATTCTTTTCAGTCTCTCCCCGAGTTCTGCCGAGAGGCCACCGTACACCACGCAGCCGTAATCAAGGTGGGGGAAGATGAGGGAAGTTACCAGGAGTCTACGTGTGGAGATGGGTAGGAGATGGCGGAAGCGATGGAATAGTATCAAGGTACCAATTGACTGTCGGGTAATGTGAGCAATATGGTGTTTCCAGGATAGGGTTTGGTCTATGAAAATGCCTAGGTTTTTTACTGAGGAGGTGAAGGTAATAGGATGGTCATTTAGGTACAGTATAGGTATGTTGGTATTGGCTCTGAGAAGGGGTTTGGAACCAATGACAATGGCTTGAGTTTTTGCAGCGTTTAACCTTAACCCATTTAAGTTTGCCCAGGCACTGATCCGATTCAAGTCTTCTTGAATTTTGGCAAACGCTTCATGCAACTCTGAGGGATGGAAGGAAAGGTAGATTTGGGAGTCATCGGCGTAAGGGTGATGGGAGCAGTGAAGGATTGAATTATGGATGTCATTGATATAAGAACTAAAAAGGAGGGGAGATATGCTAGAGCCCTGGGCCACTCCTGCGGACAAAGTAAGATAGGAAGACAAGGGTTGATTAGGAATAGCGACAGCTTGTGAGCGTTGGGAAAGGAATGATTGAAACCATAGGATAGAACTATGGGAAAAGGATAATGATTTTAATTTGGAAAAGAGAATGGAGTGGTTGATGGAATCAAAGGCTTTGGAAAAGTCAATAAGTATAAGGACGGTTAGTTTTTTGTCATCAATGGCGGACTGAACATCATTAATGATTTTGATTAGGGCGGATTGTGTGGAATAACCTGGTCGGAAACCAGATTGGTAAAGGTCAAGTTGATTGGACTGTTCAAGGAAGGTGGAGACTTGGGATTGCACAATTCTCTCCAGGGGTTTGGAAAGGTTAGAAAGGATTGAGATTGGCCGGAAATCTTCAGGGGAAGACGGATTAGAATTTTTATTTAAAGGACGGACTGTGGCTTTTTTCCACAAGGAAGGGAATACTGAATTTTGAACATATATATATATAAGATAAAGACCAGAGACTGACAATATCGACCTTAATACCATCCTGAAATGTAAACAACAAGCCGAATGTATATAAGCAGGATTATTGGACGAATAAAGTAGTATTGATTCAGAAGCCGTCAGTGTTGTATCTCAAACCTTTTCCTTTTCTTTTATTGTTTAATTTCACCGACGCTTAACTGGTGCCGAAACCCGGGACGTCAGGAGATCACAATTGGTGAATTATTCTTTTTTATTTTCATTGTTCCTTTCTTTTAGTCGTAAGGAAAAACTGAGATGCCGACAGATGGCTTAATCCGATCAGGAGTGTTGAGCGCACTGGAAATTTCTCAACCTCAGGAAATTCCTCAGATCCTTCAGAATCAGGAGATCCCTCCCTTACCGAGGGACACATTGGCAGAAGCGCACGCTAACGCACTAGAATGGATGAAGATAAGAGCAGCGACCACGCAGGACTTTTGGAGGGCAATTGCGGACCTGGAATGCTTTGGTGGCGACGTAGGAGAACTCAAACAATTTAATGAAGAAAGGCGTTAAGGTTACGGTGACACCAGAGATGGAAAACAATATCCGGAAATGCATGAATCGATTACAGGCAAAACTGGTGTTGGCGTTCCCAGATTTTGAGAAACAATTTAATATCACCACCGATGTGAGCGAATATGCGTTAGGGGCCGTTTTGTCCCAGAACGGAATTGAGGGTGAACGTCCGGTAGCATACGCAAGCCGACAGCTTACGAGAGCGTAATCGCGATACAGCGCCTAGGAAAGGGAGCTACTTGCGATAGTGTGGGCTATCGACCATTTCAGGCCATATATATTCGAGAGGAAGTTTCGTGTCCACACTGACCACAAACCCCTTCAGTGGGTAGGAAAATTAAAGGAAACCTCGGCTAGGGTCACGAGATGGAAGGAATTCCTTAGTCAGTATAACATAGAGGTGGTGTATAAGCCGGGAAAGGAGAACGTGGTGGCAGATTGGCTCTCTAGGGCCATCATGATCAACGCAGTAGAAGAGGACAGAGGAGGACCATCCATCAATTTTTGAGTGAATGGACTCCCGATGGCGAAGGGGCAGACGTTACTGTCGGTATAGAGGGCGGGGAGGAGTCCCCAGAAGAAGAGAGTTCAGCAGAGGAAAGGTCAGCGGATATGGGAGAGATAGACGAGATCATTAACGACAAGCATCGCCAGGTGATCTGGAAAACGAGAACCGCGGAGACCATGAAAATAGATTTCGGGAAATATTGGAAAAGTAGGATTCACGTCATCTGGTCGCAACCTTGGGGTAAGCGAAGAGCAAATCTGTAGGGCATTGAAGGAAACCACGGAAGCGGGAAAAACTCAACATCTCTATGTTGGTAATAATACAATATAGGAAAAAATAAAGCGAATGTGGAGATCCGAGTGAATAGGAGTGGATAGAACATTTATCCGTTGCAAGTATTCAGTGGAAACGATACAAGACGAGGAGCAACAAACAAAAGCAGTCACATTGGCATACCACCAGGGGAAAACCAACCACTGAGGCGTGAACGAGATGTTGCAGGCATTAAGTCGAAAATATTTCTGGTGGAGCATGAAAAGATCCATCCAAGAAACTGTAGGGAAATGCAAGGTATGTCTGCGCACAAAGTATGATAGAAACCCCCCTAGAGGAATCCAGGAGGAGACACCTACAGGGAATATGCCGCTACAGGATCTCCAAATCGATACATTCATGTGGAGAGGGTTCAACTGGGTTACTATAATTGACCTCTTCAGCAAAATAGCTATGGCACATCAGGTCATGGACAAGTCAGCCAACGCAGTTGCAGAAGCCCTGCAAACCTGGGTGCATACAGGATCTCCGAGAGAATCGCATCCGACGGTGGTAGGGAGTTTGACAATCCCGCGATTAGGGAGGAGATGAAACGGTTAGAGATTGTATGGCACTACAACACACCGAGACACCCTAAAAGCAGAGGCAGCATCGAACAGTTGCACAGTACATTGAGTGACCACATCCGTATGTATCAGGGGGAGAAAGGTTTGGAGCCGGATGTCACAATGAAAAAAGCTGTAACAGCATATAATCACTCGATTCACTCCGTCACTGGATTTTCACCGGTGGAAGTACTATTTGGGATGCACGGGCCGAGACGAGATTGCGGGGAAACGACAATCAACGAACCGATAGTAGACCAAATCCATAGCAATAGGGTAGAAGTAGAGAAGACGTGGGGAAAATTAAGCGGAAGAAGAGGAAGCGGGAAGAAAGGTAAAATGTCCAAGTACGTGACCAAATGGGAGATCTAAAAATCGACGGTACGAGGGTCCATTCAGAGTGATTGCTATTAGGGAGCATAATCTGCTAACAATTGAAAGTATCAATGAACCTAGGAAGAGACGAACTGTTCACATTGAACAATTAAAGCTCCCAATGATAGACTCAGAATAAACAACCTGATTCGTAGTGCCCTCACCGCTGTAGACAAAAAACATTTTTTTGTGTGTTGTAAATAACATACGGATGTTGCCGTTTTTTTTTAAGTAAGCAATTTGTAAATAGGAGTATATCATTTTGATTTGCCGTTTTGGCGTGTATTTTATTGTATAATAAGGAATTTTGAATTTTTTAAAATTTATTTTTAGTTTATTGGCTGATAAGAGTTTTTGTTACCCTAGTAGTAAGACGATGTAAATATGTTTTTTTTTGTTTGTGTGTTGTTATTTTTCGTTCCAGCTGAAGAGAAGTGATCTTTTTAGTTCATTTTAGGTGTACAGTGGTAAGAACAAGTGTAAGGTGTTAAGGCTGATAACTGTTTGCTCCGCTCTAGTAATACTTGAGAGTTTCCGAAATCCTAGTCGTAAACTGGTGAGGGGGAGATAAAGACCAGAGACTGATAATATCAGCCTTAATACCATCCTGAAATGTAAACAACAAGCCGAATGTATATAAGCAGGATTATTGAACGAACAAAGTAGTATTGATTCAGAACCCGTGAGGTGTTGTATCTCAAACCTTTTCCTATTTTTTTATTGTTTAAGGTTTAAGTTCACTGACGCTTAACTTTATATATATATATATATATATATATATATATATGGTATGAATTTAGACACTGAGCCAAGTACCTATTGTACTTGATTGTGGCAGATTATTTTCAATAATTAAAAAAAAAAAAATAGAAAAGACAATATTAACATCCCAGAAATCATCTATTAGTTACCATTGTTAGTTGTTAGAGCATATTAAACATACACGGTAGTGAAGGTTAATTGCAAGTTTTTCCACCCACTTTCCATGTTCATTTAATGCATAAACTATAAAAAATTAAACTTACCCAGGGGCTGTTTTATAAATAACATTTTCAATCCTATGACTAACATTTAAACTCGAACCAGGTCGCGAGTCACAGGTGAAACACTTCTTTCCTTGTTCTAAATGTGACACAATACAGTAACTGACCTGGAAAAAACAAATATCACAATAAATAAAACTTAAGAACATCATTAGTAATTCAATTTGTAGTAATGCAATATATATATACACACACAATGAAATAAAATAAATATATGTACTAATACAATACAAATAATAATACAATGGAACAGAACAATAGAGTGAAACAAAATTTTCCTGTTTTGAAACTTCCTTAGGGTTCTTCTTCAGCCATTCCTTCTCAGCCTAATAATAAGTTTGATTATTTTAAGTGATATTAATTTTTTTTTTTTTTTTATTGAAATTTACAACTGTATTACATGGAAAATACAATAAGTAAATGTGACATTGGTAACATGACATGTACAACTTGAAGAGAAACTACCCATTGGTAGAACTCAAATTAAAGTTCTATATTAGAAGGTCCCGAAGCCATTTTCTTTTCAGACGCCTCGGAGGATTATCAGGGATCGAGGAGGAAGCAGGTTTGAAACGAGAGGATTCGGATGGTTCTGCAGTTTGTTATCGAAGGATAGATATCTGGATTGGGCCAAATCGGAAACATATGGAACATTAAGGTCTTTATGGATGATTTTATTTGTGACAAAGTAAAGAGCGTTGAGGATTTTGGATTGTAAGGATTGGATACAAGAGGAATTCGATGGTTTAGTGGACCCCAAAGCTCAATTCCGTAAGTCCAAATAGGTCTTATTATTGTCATATATATGAGTCGTTTGTAATTGATTAATTGGAGGCTTATATATAGGCAATCTTAAATCAGATAGAATCATCATATAAATGGACAAAGGCAAAACAGTTAAGTCTCTTTTTCTTCTCTGTTTTTTTTCAACCGATTTTCTTTTTTTAATTTAGTAGTTATTGACAAACTTTAGTGTTATCAATAAAAATTTTTTGGAAACAGTGTATATAAACAAAAATGTAAATGTTAGTTTGTTCAAAATCGCTAATCTCTGAAAGTTCTTCAAGGATTTCTTTGAAATTTTGATAGAAAGTTGCAATCAAATTCAGTAGTGTTTTACATATATTTCATTACCATTCGGCCTTTCATTTCAAAATGGCAGCAGAAAAATGTGTCGCTATAGACTATTTCATTTTTAAGGGAAAACCAAATTAAGATTGCTATTTCATACATTCATTGAGGAACACCGGCAGACTGAGTAAAAAGAGATGGATGAGCATTGTTATGATTGAATTTGAAGTGTCTGTCAGTAAGGTAGGAACGGAAAATGAGGAAGTATGTAGGTGGTAGGAATTTACGGAGTTTGTACATCAGTCCCGGATGCCATACTCTATCAAACGCCTGTTCAACGTCGAGAAAGACTCCCGTGCAGTACATTCCACGCTCCAATGCAGAGGACACTACATCTACCACACGATGGCATTGCTGAATAGTGAAGTGGGATGTGCGGAATCCAAATTGGTGATCTGGGATAATGTGTTTAGAGTCTAGGATGGGATACAGACGTTATAAGATGAGTTTTTAGAGGATTTTGCCCATAATGGATAAAAGAGAGATAGGACGGTAAGAGAATGGGTGCTCTGGCGGCTTTATGGGTATAGGTATCATTTTGACAATGGATAGTTTCCAAGAGTCAGGAAAATATGTGGTTCGGAGTACAGCATTATATATATAGCATTTCCAAGTCAATTTCAACCTTTTCCAAATCAAATTCAACCTTTTCCAAGTCAAATTAAACTTTTTCCAAGTCAAATTCAACCTTTTCCATTTCAAATTAAACCTTTTCCATTTCAAATTCAACCTTTTTTTATTTATTTAATTATCTTTAATTTTTCGATGTGTGGATCTGTTATCGTATGAGTAGTTTTTGAAAATAACCTGCTTTTTAAGATTACGTGACTGAGTTTCGAATTATTTAAGTTTTTTTGAATTATTCGATATAAGGGTGTATTTTTATGTTTCCCGATCAGTAAATTTTGAAAATGACATCCATTTATGTTTACGCCACTGTGTTTTGACTTATTTAAGTTTTTCGAATTTAGCCAATATAAAGGTCTACTTTTATGTTTCTGGAGCCGTAGATTTTGAAAACGACCTCCATTTTAAGATTAGGCCACCGCGTTTCGACTTATTTGAGTTTTTCGGATATTTTTCATATGAGGGTTTATTTTTATGTTTCCGGAGCTGTAGATTTTGAAAATGACCTCCATTTTAAGATTAGGCCACCGCGTTTCGACTTATTTGAGTTTTTCGGATTTTTTTCATATGAGGGTGTATTTTTATGTTTCCGGAGCTGTAGATTTTGAAAATGACCTCCATTTTAAGATTAGGCCACCGCGTTTCGACTTATTTGAGCTTTTCGGATATTTTTCATATGAGGGTGTATTTTTATGTTTCCGGAGCTGTAGATTTTGAAAATGACCTCCATTTCATGATTACGCCATTGGATTTTGACTTATTTAAGTTTTTCGAATTTAGCCAATTTAAAGGTCTACTTTTATGTTTTCGGAACCGTAGATTCTGAAAATGACCTCTATTTTATGATTACGCCACTGCGTTTCAACTTATTTAAGTTTTTAGAATTTAACAAGTATAAAGGTCTAATTTTATGTTTCTGGAGCAGCAGATTTCCCCCATTTTGTAAATGACCCAATTTCAAGTTTATGCCACTGTGTTTTGGATTATAAAAGTTTTTTCTTTTTTACTTTTTCGGTATAAGAATCTACTTATATGTTATCCGAGACGCATTGAAATTTTTCTAATCTTTAATATTTAAATTTATCTAATATTTAAGCTCCATTTTATGATTAAGCCGCTGCATCTCGAATAATTAGGCTTCATTTTGGATTTTTACAATACAAAGTTTCATCAATATGTTTTCGAGTATGAATAAATAAATAAATATTATGAAGCTAAAGTTAAATTAACCACAGAATACAAACTAAAAAGCCGAAAAGCAGCTGGTAATAAATTTAACCTTCCGTATTCAGATTTTTCAGCTAATTGTTCGAAATCTTATAATTTTGTGACAGGAGACCACAACATTAAAAAAGATAACTAAAATTAAATTAAAAATGAGACAATACATATTTTATTTATTTTGATTAGATATTTTTATTTATTTATTGAAAAATAAATTAATCCTTCATATTTTGTTTTTTATTCGAAGGAAAAATCAAAAACACTTAAAAAAACCGAAACACAGTGGCCTAATCTTAAAATGTAAATCGTTTTAAAAACTAAGGCTCTGGCATCATAAAAGTAGACCTTTAAGTTGGATAAATTCGAAAAACTTGAATAAGCCGAAACGCAGTGGCGTAATCTTAAAATGGAGGTCATTTTCAAAATCTACAGCTCCGGAAACATAAAAATACACCCTCATATGAAAAATATCCGAAAAGCTCAAATAAGTCGAAACGCGGTGGCCTAATCTTAAAATGGAGGTCATTTTCAAAATCTACAGCTCCGGAAACATAAAAATACACCCTCATATGAAAAAAATCCGAAAAACTCAAATAAGTCGAAACGCGGTGGCCTAATCTTAAAATGGAGGTCATTTTCAAAATCTACAGCTCCGGAAACATAAAAATAAACCCTCATATGAAAAATATCCGAAAAACTCAAATAAGACGAAACGCGGTGGCCTAATCTTAAAATGGAGGTCATTTTCAAAATTTACTGATCGGGAAACATAAAAATACACCCTTATATCGAATAATTAAAAAAAAACTTAAATAATTCGAAACTCAGTCACGTAATCTTAAAAAGGAGGTTATTTTCAAAACTAGGTACAGGACAGCATAATACTAGTCCCTAATAAATCCGAATAGTTACAATAAATCGATATCCGTAAGTGAAAATTCTACTTAGAGCATAATAATAGACTTTCATATTGGAGGGGGGGAGGGGATGGCCATTATTTAAAAAAAAAAATATAAGATTTACAAAAATTAAAACATTAATTTGAAATGAAAACGGTTGAATTTGAATTGGAAAAGGTTTAATTTGAAATGGAAATGGTTGAATTGACTTGGAAAAAGTTGGATTTGATCTGGAAAAGGTTGAATTTGACTTGGAAAAGGTTGAATTTGACTTGGAAATGACATAGAAATATCACACTGGAAAAATCTAAAATGTTAAAATAAATGGATATGCAACCGCGTTATCAAATTTTTTTTTGTATTTTTCAAAAGCTATACCTTCGTTAATATAGTAAGTGGCCTTCATTTCGAAAAAAATCGAAAATTGACAAAAATTCGAAAGTTGAATTTGAAATGGAAAAGGTTGAATTTGACTTGGAAAAGGTTTAATTTGAAATGGAAAAGGTTTAATTTGACTTGGAAAAGGTTGAATTTGATTTGGAAAAGGTTGAAATTGACTTGGAAATGCTATATATAGGTTAGGAACAGTATGGCTTTTTTAGGAAGAAATTTTAGGATCTGAGATGCGATTAGGTCATGGCCAGGAGCTTTGCGGGAAGGTAATGACGTCACAAACTACTACCAAAAATGGACAAAGAATGACAGATGGTGGGAGAAGCAAGTTCCATATGTTATGGCATTAGGTAGCCAGCCAGCTAGGAGAGATGACCGAGTCCACAAATAGTGACATGTGACCAACAAGTAGTGATGGTCAACAAAGAAGAACATAAGAAGATTGTAGAAGTTGGATACAATACCAAGGAAGACTCACTGCAGAACAGGGTGAGTGAAATGTAAATGGACAGTTCGAAAGCGTGCCAAGATTAGACCCCAACAAACAAGGGAAATTAATAAATATGTTGTATAAATTTATGTATGCCTTTGTATTATATATTTGAGGAATGTGTTTAAGTTGTCTCAACCCAACCTGGGAATTAATTATACTATAAAATAAATATTATTTGATTAAGAAGCTGTTTGTTTATGTTTACTTTTCGAAGGGAACGTAACCTATATATATATATATATATATATATATATATATATATATATATATATATATACACAAATGATATATAGGGAAAAATATAATTTTGTTACATGATAAATGGCTACCCAGCGTCTGATTGAATTGTAAGGAGGAATTGGAATAAGAGAGTTTTAAATATAGATAGGGATGGTGCATGGCAGATTTTAAGTGGGATAGAATTCCAAAAGGTGGTGGAGCGGACAGTAAAGGAGTTTTGAAATGAGGCAGATTTGTGGAAAGGGGTATTAAGGTCAGAAGAACGAGATCTTGTGGAGAGGGAATGGATAGATGACTTGAATTGAATGCGTAGGATGGATGATGATTATAGATTATTTGCTAAAGGAATGTACCTAGGAAATATTGTCTTCTGAAGGAGGGAAAGAGCCACCCTAACTCGGCCTAGTAGTGGGAAACACGAGAACGTCTAGGGGTTCCATTGACAAATCTTACTAAGCCATTCATGATTCTTTACAATCTGTCTCCAAGGAGTCAGTCCAAGAATAGGAGCACAAAAATGAAAAAGCTCTACCAATCTTGATAAAATAAAGTTGTGAGGCCCATTTCTGTTTGGATATATCGGTCTTTGCTCAAATTTATGTTCATGTCGATCCTTTGATGATTGATTGATACATTTAATCGCAGTATAAATAATAATCCAAATTAAACTATATGAATCTCGATAAAATAAGGTCATTAGGGCTATATATTGGTCTTTAGAAAATTGGTATAAGCTGAAATTTTGGGGAAAGGAGAATAAAAAAAAAGTATATATATTGGTTTTTAGAATATTGGTATCGGCTGAAAAGTATATATAGATTTAACCCTAGATGATTGATTGGTACTTTCATCTTGTAATTACGAGACTGTACGGAACCAGACACATAGGAATGAAAGGACGATATGCTAAAATATAAGTTTATTTTTCTTTTATTGGTCAAAATTTGTGTTTTAAGCGTGTGTAGATGGTCTATTAATTCTTTTATTCAGCAATGAGTAGGATATTCCATGTGAAACTGTATAAACCTTAAAGAACACAGAAAAAAAAAAGGCTGATATGGCCGATATATATTGGCCTTTTTTATATCGTTATCGGCCTAAAATTTTGATATCGGTCGACCTCTACTTTTAACTAGCAAAATTTGTGATCTCAAATCAGCAATGCTCAAATAGTGATCTGTGTCCATATTTGCAGCTCTATAAGATCTTGCATTTATTATGTTAGACTTGTTACGGTCACTAATAAATACATGGTCTATCTGTGATGTTTGCCCATTTAGGGAGATCCATGTTGCTTTGTGGATATCATTTTGAGAAAAAAAAGTTGTTTCAACAATCAGTCCATGTGATTTAGCAAAGTTCACCATCCGGAGCCCATTATCATTACTGGTTGCATGCAAGCTGTGGGTTCCTATGGTCGGCATGAGTGCCACCTCCTCACCAACTTGAGGGGGTTAAAGTCATTAAGTATAATTTTAACATCATTTTTGGGGAAGTTTTCTGTCACATGTCCAAGTTCTTCATAGAATGAGTCCTTATCCTCCTGGAGTGGCACCTCTGTTGGGGCAAGCAGTTAATTAGAGAGAAATTAAAATTTTTCCTCTAAACTGAATGTAGCAAAACCTTTGGTTAATGGGAGTAAATCGCATCACTAGCTGTCGAGCCCTGCCTCTCACAACAAATCCGGTACAGAAGATATGATGCTTTTCATGGTAACTATAGTACAGTTTATGGAACTTCTTCTCCATGATTCCCTGTCCTGTCCACCGGACCTCCTTGATCGCTGCTACATCGATGGTGTATGCAGGACCCCTTCAGTGATAGAAATCTCTTTTGATGAATCATTGCCATTGGTAATGATAAATGACGCATTATTGTATAGATTCGTGAAAGTTTCAAGATTTTTCCTCTTAAACCTATATCATAGAGCCTTTGCTTCAGCTGCTCATGTTTCACTGAGTTGAAAGTTCTCTTGAAATCAATAAAATTAGCTATTACTTTCCTTTTTTTGAGCCTGAGAACTAGATTAACAAGTGATGATAAGATAAAAACATTATCCCTACAGCTCTTATTTTTTATGGACCCCATTTAAAGATTTGGCAGCAGTTTCTTCTCTTCAACCTATTTTATGAGTCTATTAAAAAATATGGAGGAGAAACTTTTAAAATGTTATTCAACAAGGAGATACCTTGATAGTTTTCAGGATCAATTGTTGATCCTTTTTTGTGGAGCTATCTCTTTTTTATTTTTGTCTAACTGTGAGTTATATGCTCTTCTGTCTATATTTTGTTATAGAGCTTTAATAAGCTGTGTTTTTCATTTTTCATTTAGCATTTTAAAACACTTATTGGGTATCAAGTCTAGTCCTGTAGAGCTTTTATTTCTGATAGTAGTTTTATGGCTATCAGTAGTCCTTCTAAAGTGATTTCGTTGTCCAAGTCAGGCATGTTAGAGTATGTGAAAGGTCTTACAACTTCCTCTTTAGCTGGGAGTATATCCTGAAAAAAGGCCTCCCATTGTTTTGTAGCTAAAAGATTTTGTGGTATGGCTTTGTGGCTATAATTCCTGACATATTTCCAGAATTTTATTGGTGTTTTGGTGGAACTGATGGCTACCTTTATCTTATTATTATACATTGTTTTAGTTTTTTCAATAGTTTTTTATAGTAAGTTTTTGCTTCACAGAACTGTTGTAGGTATTCAGAACAAAATAAATGTTTAAGAGATGTACAATAAGTTAATCTCATCTTCTTTTTCACTTGTACACAATCTCTTGTAAAATATGGCTTTCTATTGCTGTGGGACTGGATATGCTGTATTTTTATAAGTCCAGCTTTCTTTATTAAATCATAAATACTATTAATATATTCATAATTAAGGATTTCTACCTCCTCAACCTCTTTGTTAGGTGGTGCAGTTGAATCAGCTAGTGCCCTGAAGATGTTTAAATTAATTTCATTCCTCATCAAGATTTCTTTAGACTTATTTAATTTTCTTTGTTTTTCTTTATTAAATAAGATCAGTACACAAGGGAGATGATCGGAGAGTGTGCATACATTGAGAATTTCAAAATCTGTAGTTTCATACATAAAAGGCAATGATATCCATACATGATCGAGAATACTTGGGGATGGGAATACGCAGTGCTGTGCACACGCTTTAGCCCATTCGGCCACCCCGCCCCCATGATCGAGAATACTACAAGACTTATGACCAATGTAGGTAACTTGTACAGGGTTGTCACTAAGGGATCTGTCATTACAGACTATGAGGCCTAGGTTTCCCCCTCTTTTATTTAATTCAATAATAGTTAAAGAGCTTTGGTTTAAAAATAGATAGACATATGCTGTGGTATTTCCTCATCAATATTATTTTATTTAGGGGTCCTATTTTAGCATTCCAGTCACCCCCCACAATAATCATATCAATGAGATCCAAGTTTAAAATGTCATGTAAATCATCGTTAATGGAATATAGAATATTATCATGTTGAGAGCCTGGTTTACAATAAACAGAGGCAACTAACTTTTTCTGGTTATGCAGAAACATGCCTTAACAAACATGAAAAATGTCTTTTTTTTTCCACATGGCATACTGCACATTAAGAAATCAAAGACATTTTTTATTTTTAGCTGAAAAAGTTCTAGAAATGCATTTATGTTATGAAGACTGTTTCCCCTCTCCCCCCCCCTGTGTTAAATCTACACAAATACGCTATATATTCCATTGTATAAATTTTTTTTATAGATATATTCAAGCATATTTAATAAGTAAAACAAAAAAAAAAAAAAACATTTACAGATATACAAACATATAAACAAATTAATTTTAAATATTCAATATTATATTTGTTCGTTTCACATTAATTATGTAGAATTTTTACACATAATAAAAACTCCCACTATATTTTTTTTTGTTCATCATCCCAATCAAAAAATTAAAAATATCAGGGACCAAAATAGGTCTCCAGTACACAGCTGTTCTACGTCATTCGTATACTCGAATATCATGATTTTACATAAGCTTCAAAGAAAACTTAATGTTCTTTCAAGTCAATATCAATGTCAATTCAGTGACAGACTTCATCACAAGATATAACATTTTTTGATACCCTAAAATTCTCGGCAAATCTACTTTTTAGAACAATTGATCTTGACAAGCCAGCCTAAATGTCACAAAGATGTGCAACAAGCCTCAGACTAGACTAGACTGAGGACAACTAACTAACCATACTGAACCAAGAGAATGACCCCCATAACTAGAATAATACTCATATTAACATAATTTCCAACCAATACCAACTTCTCATAATACCCTTGCAATCCATCCTGCACAGTATAAGGGATCCCTTACGGTTGATTTCTCTAGATATCATCTCCACATCGTTAAGGCCTAAAAAAAAATTAATCAATTCAAGGTTTGGTATAGTCACGATATGTGAGTAGGAGAAAGACCATTGGACCGGCAAGTACTAGAGATGTATTTCAGTCTCTAATTTTTTTAATGTTTAGACCTTACAGACCTACAGAACATAATCAAGAATCACATTTTGCTTATACATTCGAATGCACATGAAAGTAAAAGTATAACAGTAATGATAAATAAAAATAAAATAAAATAAATAAATAAAAAAAGAGCGACAAAATTTATTAAGTATTAAATAATTTAAAACATGTAAATCGAGAAAAGTTTCTACCAAGGAAATAACAATTTTAATAAATAAATAAGAAATTCGTTTGATAAACATGCAGATTTAAATAAAATGACAATAATAATGATAAAATGTAAATTAAAGAGTTACTCACTGGACCATTCAAACCACATGTTGAGGTAGCAGTAAGGTTTTTGGCTCTTCCAATTAAAAGATTTCCAGTTTGTGGGTGACAGGAGCCAACTTCACAAATTGGTCTTTTGGCTGAAAAATAGTCATTACATGTTTTTAAAGAATTAAAGTGGCTTAATTTTATTAAATAGCTTTATATATAAAATAGACCAGCAAAGTTATTCAATAATTAAGACAAAATTAATAAACACATTATTCTAAGAATAACAATAATTTAACATTCTGTTTAAAAAATGGGACTGATTGATATTAACAATATGACAGATAATGAGGAGTTTGTTGCATATTCACTGATGGAGAAAAAGGTATTTCATTCTCAAATGATTCATTTTTTCTACTGGTCGAATGAAGAATTTGTGATAAATTTCGGATCTCTGAGGCAACCGTTCTATTTATTTTGGACTTTATAGAATCATTGATTTCCAACACCAAGGAATAAATATAGAGCTGATGCTACTGACTACATTGAGGTATGTAAATTGATTTGATCATTTAACATTTTTTTCACCTTATCATCTTAATTAAGTAAAATAAAATACAGTGTTTCCTTTTTGGAACCTAAAATAGATCATTACCTTGTTACGATCAGTTTATAAAAATAAATAATGCTAAAATTTTATTTCCTGATTTATGTTTCTTATTTTCATACTATAGTATTTAACATAGTAAAAATATTTCACTAAAAAATTTGTCGGTGACATTTCTTTCAGATTTTATGCAACTGTATCATTCTTAAATATTTGTGGAAACTTCAGTGGGCTGCACAAATCAACTGTATCTAGGAACATAAACAAAATTTCAAGAGCCTTGCCTCGTCAAAAAATAATTATATATATCTAGTCAAATATATATATATATATATATATATATATATATATATATATATACACACAGATTATATAAATAAAAATTAAGTAACAGATTTCCTCTCCTAACAATTGTTTCTTTATTTTTATGACATTTCAGAATCACTTTATTATCCCATCTTCAGACTAGAAATTAGAAAACATTTTTGTTATTTGTATTTTTATATTATCATTAAAATATTTTTTTATAATTAATAACATCAAAAACAGATTTGCCAATCATACCCGTACCTCATCTTTCTACCACCTTATTTTTTAAAAAAAGATTTGTCATATTTTTTTTTATATTTTCATAAAACATCCCTAAAAATGCAATAATTTTATGTATTATATTATTATTTTTATGTAAGTAGCAAGGTTCTGTTTTTATTTATTTAGGTTCAGTTCTGAATTTATTTACGTTAATTATATTGTGGACTCCTTTAAGGAGAGCCTAGTCAGACAGATGTCTTTATTACACTTTATTAGAAAATAAAATGTATATGTATAGAGAGTAAAAAAAAAAAGAAATTACTCAAAATGTCCCCCTTTTGCCTTGACACAGGCATTAGTCTCCGTGGCCAGTCATCAATAGAAGCATGGAGCACTTCTTGAGGAAAGAGCTCAACTGCTCGGACCAGAGATTCATTGAGGCTTTCCAAGTTAGGGTGTGCTCTGTGGTATGGCATCCTCTCCAGTTCGTATCAAAGCCAATAATCTAGTGGATTGAGATCAGGGCTTCCTGAGGGCCAAGCCAAGGCAGAGATGAACTCTGGAATGTTCTTTTGCAGCCACTGATCAATTGACCTGGCCTTATGAGCTGGAGCGGAATCCTGCTGGCAAACCCAATAACTTCCAGCAAGGAGCACTTTGCATCCACTCAAATTTTTTTTTAGGGAAGTGGTTAGTCTTTGTCCTGTCATTCTTCGAAATACACCTATCCTAAGGTCACTTTTTATTATGCGAGACATTGATCTGACAGACATTCTTATTTCTTGAGACATGATTTGTTGTTTTCAAATGGTATTTCTTCTGATTCGAGCAGCCACTGCTCTCACTGCATTTGATGTTTCCACAGTGCGAGGACTGCCTGGTCGAGGTGTCACATACAGAAAGGTCTCATTATATCTATTTATAGAGCGGTACCCGAACATACGGCTGATACCCAAAGGTTTCAAAGTATTGAAAATCCCAGACCTAAACTTTCCAACTTTGTGTAAAGCGATCACAACTATTCGGTTATCTTTATCACACCACTCCATGATAGCTGAGAGAAAGAAACATATAAACTAATTGGGATTATTATCCTGACATGTAAAGAAAATAACATTATAGAGGTAAGGATTATCTAAATAATACCCAAAGATGTAAACAAAGTTCGACTTTTGTAAAAGTATTTATGGCAGAACTAGGTACTTGGTTAGAGATGAGGATGAGGAAAGTAGAGTTAGAAGAACGTTTGACATCAGCGATTTTCCTAAAATGTGTAAGAGCAATAGACCAGACTGCACACATATCCGATTGCAATCTACAGGTTATGAAATGAAATAAATTGGCATTTAATAATTTATAGCTTGTATACTTCATTGTTTCTTATAGTATTAGATGATGGTGAAATGTATTTACATATTTTGAATACTAGGGAGGTACCCCCTGTCCATCTAACGGTGGACCAACTCCCATTATACAATTGTTCATTTAATTGAACAACTAGTAGCTCAAATTGTATAGCTGTAATTTACATGTATTTTGTAGTTCATATTGTATTATTTTTTATCAACATAAAATAAACGAAACCATAGTCCAGACAAAGTTTTAATTTCTTAAAAAGCTATATTGCACAACGTGCCTTACTATCAATTTGTAATCATAATAAGGGAGAAATAATTCTGAAGTGTGGTGTCTTCGTTACGGTCGATCCCGTTGCTTTCTTCTTCACGGCCTGTCCCACTTTGTATATGTAAAATAAAATATAACACAGTCAATAAAAACGTTTTTTTTAATAGAGAGATTTATTTATTTTTTAATATAATACAAAAAAAATAAAGAATCACTACGAGCATATGATGATCATTTTAAATTAAATTTCTAATCACTGTAAAGATGTTACCACGAGAGTTCTACGGAACTGACAGACGATTATGCATCAATCCTGGGAGACGACTGGGTGAAACGAGGGGGTGGAGATAGCATGCCTTCCACTACTTCCAACTCCAAAGTATTTTTTGAATGCACATAATTGATTATTAAATATCATTTATTGATCATAAAATATATATATATATATATATATATATATATATATATATATATATATATATATATATATATATATATATATATATATTATTTATGAATTATTGGAAATTTTTCATTGAAATTTACAATGTTATACATTTCGAAATTTGTTTCTGAAAAATTGTTTTTTCTATTATTTAATATATTTTTAATTGAGAAAAATAGCGTTCAACATGAACTGAGGTAAGGGGACTCATTTTGTAACTAACACTGCTGCTTCTTTATCAACATTAACATATATACCGTTAATGGAGTCATTATATTTTTTTTGTAATAGCGTTGTAACCTGTATTTGAGAGAGAGAGAGAGAGAGAGAGAGTGAGAGGGAAGGAGGGGGAGAGATAGAGAGAGAGAGAGAGAGAGAGAGAGAGAGAGAGAGAGAGAGAGAGAGAGAGAGAGAGAGAGAGAGAGAGAGAGAGAGAGAGAGAGAGAGAGAGAGAGTCTGAGGGAGGGGGAGAGATAGAGAGAGAGAAAGAGAGAGAGAGAGAGAGAGAGAGAGAGAGAGAGAGAGAGAGAGAGAGAGAGAGAGAGAGAGAGAGAGAGAGAGAGAGAGAGAGTGAGTCTGAGGGAGGGAGAGAGGGAGAGAGAGAGAGGGAGAGAGAATAGATAGTTTTAGTGGGTAAGAATCCCACAAGCGGATAGGTAAGGGTCTATTCGTGTCTTAGAAAGATTTCCACCTACACTCGTTAAATTTTTTTTTTAAAAACACACCTAGTTATATGCATTAATAAATAAATTAAAAATACTCCATAGGATCATTACAAAATGAAATATACCTTTAACTAATACAGCCAAAAGAGGTAGAAGAAAATAAAGATTTGCCATGGTCAGAGAAAATCCTAGAACAAAATATATAGATATTAAAACATTTCAAGATAAAATAAAGGAGATAAAAATCAGTTCACCAAAAGTAAATACATTCCAATATTTTTGATACTATCAACATAAAACCAAATTCCATTCTTTGTCTTGATACCAAAAATTTGATATTTAACAGGAATTTAAAAAAAAATTGCAGATTAAGATTAAAATTATGAATGTATTATACAAAAGTTGAATTCATAAATACACTTTTTATTTATAAAAAAAATTGTTTAACATAATAATTTTTTGAATAATAATAATCATCTAAACTGATTATGAAAATCTTGTTTTTTATCTTTAGAGATGGACACATAGTCGATTGAAAAATTATATGGATGAAACAAAATTTTCAGAACTTTCAGTCAAGATATCCAAGCCCCTTCTTAGATCCCATCCAGACTTTCCCATCCTTCACCTTAATGACCAGCCAATCTCCTTCTACTCCTCTGTTAAAAACTTAGGATTTTTCATTGATCAAAACCTCCTTTGGAATCACCATATTTCTCATATCTCTCGACGGACAATTTCCACCCTCAAACTATTCCATCGCTTCCGCCATCTCCTACGTCAACATACGCGTAGACTCCTAGTTTCCTCTCTCATTTTCCCCCACTTTGACTACAGCTGTGTGGTGTATGATGGCCTCTCTGTGGAGCTCCGTGATAGATTGAAAAGACTAATGAACAGCTGTGTAAGATTTGTGATCGGGGCCCCAAGATACTCCCATGTTTCTCACCACTATGCTGAGTTAAAGTGGCTTTTCCCCTCCTTCCGAAGACAATATTTCCTAGGTACGTTCCTCTACCAAATCATCAACAGTCATCGTCCTTCTTACGCCTACAATCTTCTCCAGTTCAAATCCTCAGTCCATTCCCTGTCCACAAGATCTCGACCTTCTAATCTTTACATGCCTTCTCACAGATCTGCCTCATTCCAAAATTCCTTTGTTGTTCGCTCTGTCAATTTCTGGAATTCCCTCCCTATCAAAATTCGACATTCCCCAACCATATCCAAATTCAAAATCCTCCTATTCCAATTCCTATCCCAAGAACAGTCAGATAGTTGCTAACCATTCGAGCTGATTTTAATAGAGAATTTGATACATACAAATTCATTGATTGATTCATTGATACATTTTTATTTTTTAATTCTTTATTATTTTCTTAAAAGTGTATACTAGTGCAAATAGCTTTAAGTGCCTTGTCATAGTAATAATTGTTTTGTATATAGTTTCGTTTTTTTTTATATAGAATGTTTACCTTATATTTTTTTTACATTATTTCTTTTTTTCGATTGATTTTATTTTGGCCAGATGTGATCTTTTAATTTTGTTCTGTTTTGTTATTCTCAAGGGACTGTGTCCCAGAATAAAATTATTTTTCTATCTATCTATCTATATTTTTATTTTCTATCTAACAAAAATATCTGAATAATAATATCTAATAAATAAAAAATTAAATTTTGTTTCATACTTGTGTTTTACCTAGATATCTATTATAGGAATTGATCCGTATTTATTAATGACCAACTGAACGTTCATAAGCCTAACATTTATGTTTTCATGAAAATAATTCAAACAATCAACATGTTTCTTTATTTTAAATGTAAATGTTAAGATTGGCAACATTTAGTTGGTCACTTATTTATACGGAGCACTCTTATAATAGATATACAGGTCAAAAATACATTTTTATAATCAGTTTAGATGGTAAATATTGGAAACTAGACTATTTTTAATAACCTTTTTTTTTTATTATAAATAATAAGTATATGAATTTAACTTTATTATGATACATCCCAGGTAATGGGAAAAATAGAAATTAAAGGATAAAAATAATTTATTATAGTCATTTTTGCTGAAAACACGGGGTGTCAAATCACCTAATTTTTTTACACAAATTGATTGAGGTGAATATCAATTTATTTCTAAATAAACTTCAATATAATTAATATGGAATTAAAGTTTATTAAACAACAAAGTTTTTCTAAAAATATGTTATCTGTAGTATAGTTTGAGGATGATAAACAAAATCCTGAATCCTTAAAGATTTTTTTAAAAACAGAAATTAGCTTAGTTTATCCTCTCAAAATTCCTCCTTAAATGATTTTAACAACGAAAAACTCTACTTTCATTTGAAGTTAAACTTTGTTTAGTTAACTGTGAAGCAATCATTAACTACTTAACATTAAATATATTTTTAGATATTGGTTCCAATACAACAAAAACGTGTCTTACTTAAAAACAACAAAACTTAAATTTCCTATTATTCTGCTGAAAATTAGACCATTTTTTACATAAAGACTTTTGTAGCTCTTGAAATCTATCACTCCTATAAATATTTTCCTCTACTTATGGGACACCCTGCAAATATATGTAAGTATATAGTATTTCCAAGAAGTGCCGGCGGCCCTAGGGACAAGCAATCGGGGAAATTGTCCCAGGACACAGATATAGAGGGGTGCCACTTGTTACACATTTAAAAATATTTACATAAAAATTAAAATAATCAATTATAGGTCATTAATAAAGCAAATGAAATAGAAAAACATGGAATGAAACAAAATTCAAATATTACAAAATATAAAACAGCTTCAGGAATAAACTAATTTTTTTCATGGGGAGAGATGACCTTATTGCCAGGAAGCGCCACATTTTTAAGGCCAGTAATATTTCGAACTTATATTAAACTTTTTCTAAGTCAAATTCAACATTTTCCCAAGTCAATTTCAATTTTTCCAAGAAAATTAAACCTTTTCCATTTCATTGATATAATAAGTATTAGATAATTAGTTAATAATTTATTGATAAATAGATTTATCTTCCTATCTTAATCTATGTATGATGAATATATAACTATTATATTACCCTGCCAGTTAAAATTATTCAATATTTTTAAAACAAGGGTGTATTACTATATTATTAAATGAGTAGTTTTTGAAAATATTATCGATTTTAAGATTACGCAGTCGGTTAACGCTTTACTCAATCTTTTCAGGTATTTTCGATACAAGGATCTAATATTATGTAATGGTAGACGTAGGTTTTGTCAATTAGAATAAAATAGAAAAATAAAATTTATTCTGAGACAACGTCCTCTCAGAATAACAATGATGAACAAATAAAAAAATAAAATAATTATCTATATTATATTATTGAAAGAGTAGGTTTGGAATTTACTATCGATTTTAGGATTACCAAGTTGGATATCAATTTATCTTCCCTTTTCCGATTTATTCCATAAGAGGGCCTCTGTTATCACAAGTGTAGTTTTTGAAAATACTGTCGATCCGAGCGGTTGAATATCGATTTATTGTACCTTTTCGAATTTATTCTATAAGAGAGCCTATTGTTATGTTATCGTATGAGTAGTTTTTGAAAATACTGTTGATATGAGCAGTCGGATACAGATTTATTGTACCTTTCGGAATTTATTTAATATAAGGGTAAATTATTCCCCGCGCGGGCTCATTACCGCATATGGGGAGTGTCCCATGGGTGGCGAATGTGGGGATGGTCGATGGAAATTCATTGGAAGTTTCTCCCAGCTAAGTCTGACAGACTCACTGACCAACAATGAGAGACTCCAGACTTGCTGGAGGGTGTGACGTAGGATTAAACGCCCAACTCACATATCTTTAGTTCACCATACACCACGAATAGTCATGGATCTCCCTAAGGTAAAACGCTAATTATCCAGAGATAAATTAGTCGTCCGTTCGGGTATCCGGGTGGGACTGCATTAGGAGATCCATGGCGCAAGTTAAAAAATAGGGATTTATGTATTGGCATGTGGAACATAAAGAGTTTGAATACAGCAAGTGGGTTAAAATTGGTTGCGAATGAGGTTAATGGGTACAATTTGGATATCGTGGCTCTGCAAGAGCTTTGCTGGCTAGGGGAGGGCTCGATAAAGGAAGGAAAGTACACTATTTGGTACGGAGGAAGCGGGAATCATAGTTTAGGTACCGGGTTTCTAGTTTTTTTTTTTTTATGTTGGCCATAAGCACATCGACCCCTACTGGGTCCATTGTGTGCCAATTTCAGTTGGTCGTTATATTTAAAACGTTAATCCTGTCGCTTCCGCATATCTAAGTAGACTGATTGGATTGACCGAATCATAACTTCTGGGGAGATCCATCTGTTCCTCCCCAAATACCACCAGTCTCAGCCTTGCAAATCTATCACATCTGCAAATGATGTGAAAAGCTGTTTCATTCTCCTCCTGACAGAATCTGCATAACGGATTCGTCATTACTGGGAGATTGAACATATGATTGTTTAGCTTACAGTGACCTATATAGATAGCTGTAAGCTTTTTAAGGGCTGCTCTGTCCATGTTCAGTAGCAGTTTACTTCTTTTTTCACATGGACCTTTTAGGAACAGCTTCGAATGTCTCTGTTTCTTGTAGGTCCAGTAATTACTAAATTTGTTCCCATAAATCTCCCTGATCCTGCCCTTGGCAGTACTGAGGCTGATTCCACAGACAGGCTCGGGAGTTACAGGAATGGTATCTGAGCCCAATCTGGCTAGCTCATCAGCCACCTCGTTGCCTGGTATGCCAGAGTGACCTGGCACCCACTCCACTGCAACTCTATTGTGCTCAGTTAGTTCGTTAAGTGCTCTATTGCATTCCTTAACGACCTTTGAATAAACACAATAGTTGTCAATAGCACCTATTGCTGCCTGACTGTCAGTATATATGGTAATATTTTTCTCAGTCACGTTGCTTTTTTGTGCACAGTGGCAGATAGCCAGTATTTCAGATTGAAGCACTGAAGCATACCTACCAAGTGGTATAGAAATTTTTTCTTTTATATCTTTGCGATAGATGCCTGCTCCAGAGCCGAAGTTAGTTCGTGTGTAGCAATTTAGCAATCTGTGTAGCAATTTATTCCACTATTTGGTTTATGTCTTCTGCTGCTATCTATCCCAACCTTATATTTTCGGTCCTGATATTCTCGGATTAGAGTGTC